AAAAAAAAAAAAAAAAAAAAAAAAGGTGTCAGAACTGAACCTTTTTTTTTTTTGAACCTGACCTCAGTCACTTGTGAAAAAATCCTAGTGTGAGTATGATGTCACCCACTCAAGCAGTTATTTTGCTTGTGTCTCTGTTTATGACATTCTGTGTGTGTGTGTGTCTCTTCTTAAGACCCCAAATTCTGGGGTTCGTTAGACACTCCTTGGGGCGTCCTCGGGTTCGAAGGAAGTTTCCTTCGGGGTTTTGAAGGAAATTCCCGCCGTCGTTCTACCTATCCTTGGGGTGGTCTTCCAGGGATGATTCCTTTTGGCCCCCGGCGGCCATTTTCATAATATTATAGTTGGCCGCGGAGGGGGCAATGCCTTGGTCCATTAGGTGATGTCCATCTCACTACGGTGTGGTCCAGCACCCAAAGGAGGGAAATTTTGGAAGGCGCTGGCGACGGGGGGAAAAAAAACCCTTAAAAAGCAATGGACCTCCCCGTTCGAAAATCAAATTTCACATTGGGTGCTGAACGTCACGACGGCTATGCAGGGCTGGTGGCGTCCATATTGGCGACGGTGGAAACGGGCACCCGCAGCGGCGCAGTGGAGTGCTCGTAAGTCGTCACGAATTTGTGAGCGCCTCGCGAAGGTCCATCACCATCGCCTCCTCCTGCCGCCGCGTGTATGTGTGGAGTGGGGAATGTCGTCGGCAGCTTGGTGCTGAGGTTACTGCGGTCGTGGCGAGTTGGTAGGCTGTTGTATTTTCGTGGTTCATGAGCATTGCAACACACATGCTGATGGAGGGCGGCAACGACGACGAACGTGCGAAGTTGACGACGATCGAGAAGACGGCCGTGGCGGCGGCCATGACAGCCGTGCTCTTTCGTTGTCAGCAGGAGAGGGCATTGGACAGAATGAGAAGTGCAGATCCGTGGTGCCGAGGAGGAAGAAGCTTCATCAAGTCCCGGTCGAAGGGCTGGATACCGTGGACATCACCGAGGCTGTAGTTCAGGTTTGTTGCGCCATGGTTTGCAGTGTTCTTCCATGAGCGACACCGAGGTGGTGGATGAAAAGGAGGACGTGGGGGGCGTGGGCGGATCTCAGGCAATGCGATGATGCGACGGAGGAGTGCTTGTGGAAGACGCTGCGTATGTCGCCACATGCCTTTCGGGCGATGGCGATTGCATCCAGTGCGGACGAACGCCTGCGGGACAAGCTGCCGATGTCGATGTCGACTGCAGTCAGTGTCCATCCCTCTTCTTCTCTGTTGGAGGCCTTTGATAGAGGCATCAACGATAGAGGATGCACACGTGGAACAGGAGGACCACGACAAGCACAAATTGCGACTAGGAGCAGCAGTGGCAGCATTCAATAGAGGTCGGCCATCAACGACACATACGACAGGGCCGTAATTCCACAACGACGGTCAAGGTCCACCGAACGGCGACGATGAAGGGAGTAGACGGTAGATTGAGCTTTGTATGGAGTCGGTGTTCGCCTCGGCGATCGTGAGCGCGGGCAATGGCCCGTGCTCGACCTCCTCGCCAGTCCGTTGCAGCGTAATATCGTCCTTCCTGATCGTAGACATCCCTTACGGGATTTGAACCCGTGTCTTCACCATGAAAAAGCGATGTCCTATACCTCTACACGAAAGGGACGAATGAATGTGCTTGTAGCTCAATTGGATAGAGCACCAAACTACGGATTTGGGGGTTGAGAGTTCAGGTCTTTCCAGGCATGGGCCTATAACTCAGTTGGTTAGAGTATACGCCTGATAAGTGTAAAGTCAGTAGTTCAAATCTACTTAGGCCCACTCTGCTCTGTTGGCGAGCCACGCTCGCAAGAGCGTTTTCCGACAGCGTGTACTGCGACGCGGACGTACAAAACTCTATACGCCGAACCGAACAGATTCACTTGTATAACCCTGCTAGGGTGTGCCACATAGGGGGGAGTGGGTTTGTGTTGATTGATCGATTCTCCTCCCCTCCCCTGATCTTGCCTTACACTGATCTGATGGTATTACTTTGGTTCGCGGCCCACGCCACGTGGCGGCCTCGATTTAACTACCGCTGGTGTCCGCAGGGGGATTCGTGTTCCTGGCGAAGACTGGTCATGGGATACGAAGGTGCGGCTCGATTCCCAGAACTCTCCCATAACGCGGGCGCGC